AGTGGGGCTGCAAGGCGCCGCTACAATAAGGAGAAGGCGAGGGCTGAAAAAGCCATCTCTCCTTCAAATACCCCGGGCGGGGAGGGTGGTGCGGCTGTGAGAACGCAGAAGCGTTCCAGACCGGTGCACCAGACGCCCAGTCCGACTGAGTATCGCCCGGGCAAGAAACCCAAGGTCACTGACCAAGGGTCGTATGCCCGGACGACTAAGGGTATGATCAGGATGGCCTTTGTTCCAGAAGGCTATCCTGAGAAAAAACTGGGTTCCAGTGAGAGGGGGGAGATCAGGCGACTGGTCAGGAAGCACATCCTCGAACTTCCCGAGGATGGGATGGCGCCCACCTTCACTGGCACCTGGGAGAGGGATGGCGCAGTTATTTTCAACTGCGCCAACCAGCAGACGGTGGATTGGCTGAAAAGCCTTTCCACCGTGATTAAGATCGGAGGCACTGCTCTGCATGTGCTACCGGCCGGGGAACTACCTATGCGCCATCGGGTGGTGGTACATGTGGAGGTGTCAGATTTGGTTGTCGAGGAAGCTATAAAGCTTCTCGACAGACAAAACACGGGTCTGGGCGCCAGGGAGTGGGTCGTCGTTAGGGGGAGCGAAAGTAGGGACGCGAAAAGCGCCCACTTCGCTGCTCTGATCGGCGATCGCTCGCTGGAGGTCCTAAAGACCTGTGGTTTTAAACCCTTCTGCGGGCTGGGTCGGGCAACCGTAAGGTTGCTTGATAAAGAACGCAAGGAGGGGTGACTGCCGGTGCGAGCGGGTCGGCTTAGAAATGGCGGGACTCGCAGTACCAATAGTACAAATTAACTTGCATCACAGCAAAGGCGCCTCGGCGATTTTAGCCAGGAGCATGGCTGTGATGCAGACAGCAATAGCAATAATTCAGGAGCCTTGGCTCCTGAATAAGGCTGTAATTGGTCTGAGTGGCTGTGGTACTATTTATAAAGCAGTCACTCAGAACAAAATTAGGACCTGTATTGTAACTAAGGGACTAAATGCTATTTTTATGTCACAGCTCAGCGACGGAGACACCACTGTTATACGGACAAGGGTGGACTACGACGAGGACAAGTACTTGGATCTACTCATAGGGTCAGTTTACATGCCCTATGACTCCCAAGAAGAACCACCACCTAAAAAGGTAAGAGAACTGGTGTCCTACGCGAAGGAGAGGGGGCTTGAACTCCTATTGGGCTGTGATGCAAACTCCCACCATGTAGGGTGGGGGAGCACGAACATAAACCCGAGGGGAGAGAGCCTCCACAAATTCATTATGGACGCCAGTCTGATGATCCTTAACAGAGGAACGGTACCCACCTTCATGGACTGCAGAAAACAAGAGGTACTAGACATCACCATCAGTACTGGGGGAGTGGCGGACCTGGTGCGGGACTGGAGAGTCTCTGGAGAGCCCTCGGGTTCTGACCACAGGCAGGTTCGCTACAATCTCAGACATATGGGGAATAAAGAATGGGGTCGAAACCCTAGGACTACAAACTGGGAGGGCTATAGGATGGACCTGGAGGCCATCCTGAAGAAAGCCCCGAACAGATTTCACTCAGAAGAAAATCTAGAATACGCGGCGCAGTTTGTAAGTGACGCGATAAAAGAAGCCTATGAAGGTAACTGCCCGGAGAGGCCGAAATACTCTAAAACCAAAACTCCCTGGTGGAGCAAGGAGCTTTCGAAGCACAGGTTGGAGGTAAGAAGACTCTTCAACAAAGCAAGGAGGAGAAACTCAACAGCTGATTGGGAAGTGTATAGAAACGCCCAACGCGGCTATAGCAAAGCAATAATTATTGCGAAAAGGAAAAGCTGGAGGGATTTCTGTAAAGGCATTGAGAGTGCTTCAGAAGCATCCAGGCTAAACAGAATCCTCAGCAAAGACAACAACCTACGATTGGGATGTCTTAAACTCCCAAACGGAAATTACACCGAGACAGTAGAGGAAAGTTTAAAACACCTTATGTCTACACACTTCCCAGGGTTCCAGGAAGGTTACTGTGAATTTCAACAGGAAACCAGGAAACCCGGGGAAAAACATAAACCAAGAGACTGGACACTGGCAGCCAAGGTGGTGACTCCTGAGGGAGTAGAATGGGCTATCAAGACCTTCGAACCATACAAGACTCCAGGACCAGACGGCATCTACCCTGTTCTACTCAGGGAGGGTAGGAGGGCCCTAGTAGGCCCCCTAACGAGGGTGCTCAGAGCTAGCATAGCACTGAGACACGTTCCGAAAGCCTGGAGTGACACCAGAGTGGTATTCATACCAAAACCAGGCAAAAATGGCCATGTGATGGCCAAGGACTACAGACCTATCAGCCTCACATCCTTCATCTTAAAGATGCTGGAGAGGCTCATTGATAGGCATCTGAAAGACTTCTACCTTCTTGCAAAGCCACTGAACCCATCACAGTACGCTTATAGGGAGGGCAGATCTACGGATACTGCCCTGCATCACCTTGTGAGCGGGGTTGAAGTTCAGATGGCTGCAAAAGGATATGCAATAGGTGTCTTCATTGACATTGAGGGGGCTTTTGATAGCACCTCAAATACGTCGATTAAAGACGCCATGAACAGATTTAACGCTCCAGAATCACTGATTGACTGGACTCAAAACATGTTGAAGGGCAGAAGACTGACCGTCAATCATGGTAACAACTCAGTTGAGGGGAGGCCGGCGGCGGGCTGCCCGCAGGGGGGGGTGCTGTCACCCCTGCTGTGGTGCCTGGTGGTGGATGAACTCCTCACAAAACTGAAGAAATCAGGCTTCGAAATCTACGGATACGCGGACGACGTGGCCATTATCACCAGAGGTAATTTCCTCTCAACACTCAAGGAACGGATGGACGAAGCCTTGGCAATTGTACAAAACTGGTGTAGGACGAGGGGACTGATGGTAAACCCCACAAAGACCTCGGCCATGATCTTCACCAGAAAATACAAACCGGAACCCATTGAGACATTAAGGCTCTGGGGAAAGGAAATAAATTATGTAAATTCAGTAAAATATTTGGGGGTCCTATTAGACCCCAAATTGAGCTGGAAACCACACCTCGAGGAAAAGAGGAAGAAATTCTACACCTCTATGTGGGCGTGCAGGAGAGCCATGGGAAAGAACTGGGGACTAAACCTCAGGACAGCCTTATGGCTATACAAGATGGTATTGTTACCAAGACTCACGTATGCAGCAGTTGTCTGGTGGTTAAGGGCGGAAAAGGTGGAGGCACGGAATCTGCTTAAAAGCCTACAGGGAGGATACCTAAGGGCTGCAGCGGGGGCCATGAATACTGCACCAACTGAGGCGCTGCAAATAGCACTCAGTATTCCGCCCCTAAACCAGGTGATTAAATACACAGCCAGGCAAACAGCATACAGATTAAGATGTCAGGGTGAGTGGAAGGAAACCAGGACCGGTCACACAAGACTGGGACTTTCTGACAGACACCCTTTCAATCTAAAACAAGACAGGATCCCCAGAAGACATCAGTTGGTGAAGAATTTCAAAGTTCAAATACCGACTAGGGAGGACTGGAGCAAGCATGACTATAAAGCCAATCCAGATGTGGACACTTGGTTCACGGATGGATCGGGAGCAAACGGACGATATGGGGCAGGTATTTATGGGCCCAATATCAACCACAAGGTAAGCATACCAATGGGTGAGCTGGCCACAGTGTTTCAAGCTGAAGTGCTGGCCATCCAGAAATGTGCGGAACTCCTGCTAAAGGGGAAAAGCAGAAAACAAATAAATATTTACACTGATAGCAGAGCAGCTAACGAAGCACTTGCAAGAACCTCCACAGAATCATCTGTGGTATGGGACTGCATGCAAGCACTCACAACACTAGGGGCAACTAACAAAGTAACCTTAGTATGGGTCCCTGGACATCAGGGGATACCTGGAAATGAGGGAGCGGACGAGCTGGCAAAACAGGGTACTGAAAAGGCCCCGGCTGAAAGGATCGTCGGAGTCCCATTTTCAGCAGGAACGAAAATAATCAAAGAATGGCTTGAACGGGAGCACTCGAACTCCTGGAAGGGGGCAGAGGGCTGTAAACGAGCCAAACAACTCATGAGATCTCCAAACCTAGCAAGAACCAGAGAGTTGCTGGCTATGGGAAAGACTAAACTGAGAAGTGGCATAGGCCTACTGACAGGACACTTGCCCCTCAGAGCACATCTATTCAATCTAAGACTAGCGGAGCAGAAAGAATGCCGGCTATGTGGAGAAGAAAGCGAGGACAACCTGCACTTATTGTGCCGATGCCCTGCACTCGCTTGTAAAAGGTACAAATCCTGGGAACATATGTTTATGACACCCAAGGATTTTGAAAATGCGAAGGTCAGCAGTCTAATAAGTCTGGTAAGCGACACGAGGCTGGGATTGACTGAATGACCTATGGAAAAAAGCAGGGAGCGACAAAGGAACCCCACGGATCTAGGTCGCGTAAATGGGCTAATAAAGACCACCTGCAACTAACTACTACTACTACTACTACTAGTATGGATACACTTTTTATTTGAAAGCGCCATATTCAATCCCCCATTTTAAAATTTTTATGTCATATTCGGATTCAAAGACCCAAAAAACATTGGGGTACCGAATTGCATGAAAAACAGATCTTTTTGTAATTTTGTTTCGCCATATTGGATTCGCCATTTTGAATTTTGTAAATCTGACTTCGGATTCGAAATTAGCGACCCCAAAGACCCCCGAGTAACAAGTTTCAAGCGAGTTCTGAACTTTTTTGTAATTTTGTTCCGCCATATTGGATCCGCCATTTTGAATTTTGTAAATCTGACTTCGGATTCGTAATCAGCGACCCCAAAAACCCCTGAGTAACAAGTTTCAAGCCAATTCGGGAAGTTTTACTAGGTTTATTTTACGTTGCGGCTATAGCCGTCATGCGCATTCTTGGCCACTTTTATTTTTGCGGCTATAGCCGTCATCGACAGGGGTTAAAAGATCTTCCTATTCGAAACCAAGTGATTTAATTCTTCTTTAAAAAAATTATATCACAATTAATTTTTAAAAACAAAATGAAAAGTTTATTTAAATAGAAAATTTTTTATGTAAAAACACTTCGCGCTGCTAGTTCTCGATCTCGATGTATTAAAATATAATAATAAAGATAAGAAACATTTTCATGAAAATTAAAGTATTTAGTGTGTATATATTCGTGTATATGTATGTGCGAGTGAATTGTATCTCAATCCCAATATAATAACTTCATAATAAAATTATATATGGATGTAACATTTTGTATAAAAGAGATTAGAAACTACGAGAGTTAAAGTATGCAGTCTGTATATGTATATTCGCGTACAGTATATGCGAGTGAAATACATAAAAAAAGAAAAGTAAGCTGTATTTATTAAATGTAACAATTAGAATATGTTTACTAAAATTTTTAAATTATCATTATCTTTACATATATTTGTATTAATTATTATAGCTTTTAGATAGTTTTCATTGTTTTTCTTATTCGCTCTAGCAGCGCGAAGTGTTTTCACATAAAAAATTTTTCTATTTAAATAAACTTTCTCATTTTGTTTTTAAAAATTAATTGTGATATAATTTTTTTAAAGAAGAATTAAATCACTTGGTTTCGAATAGAAAGATCTTTTAATAAGAATACAAAGGCATATACTTAGGTTTCATTGTATGAAGATAAGGATAATTCCAATTAGGTTTTACTTTTTAATTTAGTGGAATTTAAATAATAGTACTATATGGGTTCTTAAAGATTAAAGGTACCATTTGTGTTTTACTTTTTAATTTAGAATTTAACTTGGCGCCGACTGTTGATATCAAATCTTGTATACAAATGACAAATGTCATTAAAATTAAGTAAGTAATAAGGTAGTATAACTTGGCGCCGACTATTGATATCAAATCTTTTATACAAATGATACATGTCATTAATTTAAGTAAGTAATAAGGATAATACCACGTAGGTTTTTAAAGATTAGAATTTAACTTGGCGCCGACTATTGATATCAAATCTTTTATACAAATGATGCATGTCATTAGAATTAAGTAAATAAGGATATAATCACGTAGGTTTTTAGAGATGGTTCTGCTAAACAGCAAGTGTGATTGGTCAGTTTCACAGTCGATTAAGTAATTGACGTTGGTGAAACTGGCCCAAATTGTTTTTTGACCAGCAGCACCCACTCTTAGCGCTTTTTTCTACCTTTTTTTTTAAAAAGGTAAGTTAATATATACATACAAAAGATACATGTCATTAGAATTAAATAAGTGTATAAGGATGGTACCTCTTAGATCTTTAGAGATAGAATTTTTAAAGACTAGTTAATTAAACGATATATTTTATGGGAAAAATCCATATTATATCCAATTACGAAAAATACGGAGCGAACGTCATCATACCCTCATTATGGAACAGTGCTCAATCTCACGAACATTGAGTTTCCGATGACATTGAATCAAATTAAGAAATTTGAAGCTTTAAAGGACATTTCCGTCAACGTATACACCATCGAGAACGAAATTCTTCCGTTACGGCTCACCGATGGCAAGAAGAAGAAACACGTCAATCTGTTGTACGTAGAGAATCCTCGGGATGGTAACGTGGAGGATACGCGGGACAAAAACGTGGGGCATTTCGTCCTGATCAAGAACCTGTCACGCCTCGTCAGTTCACAAAAAAGGTATTTAGTATAGGGTATTACGTTTATTGTTCCTACGACAGCTCACTGTCTTATTATAAGTTTCGTCGCGATAATAATTGTATATCGTGGTTCGCGGACGAATTGAAAAATTTAGCACATAATGTAAAGACTATAATTTCGACCCATGTTCCCATGGCAGATTTTACACGCAATGACTGGCAAAAATTTAACAGCGCCACGCACTGTCACGTGTGCGAAAAATCGTTCGCGAAAGACGACAAGCGAGCACGCGATCATTGCTATTTGACCGGGCGATACAGAGGCCCCGCGCATTCAAATTATAATTTAAATTATAAAGATTCGCATTGCATACCCGTAGTCTTCCATAATTTATCAGGATACGATGCTCATTTTATTATCAAAGAAATAGCTACAGCGTACGAAGGACGCGTTAATCATTTACCGATAACAAAGGAAAAGTACATCTCATTTAGCAAACACGTCGACAGCACCATAGATGATAAAAAAAATTGCATACAATTACGTTTTACAGATTCATATAAATTTCTCGCCTCAAGTTTAGAAAAATTAGCATCTTTTCTCAGCAAGGATAAGCTACGGGTAGGGCAACATGAATTTTGTAATTTATCTGCAGAAAATTTCGACTTATTGACTCGAAAAGGTATATTTCCGTACGAGTACATTGACAGTGTTGAAAAACTAGATGATACATGCTTACCACCTCGCGAATCGTTTTACAGTTCATTGACGGATAGTACGGTATCTGAGAGTGATTACGCGCACGCCTTGAACGTATGGCAGCAGTTCTCCATTCGAACCCTCGGCGAATACAGTGACTTATATTTAAAAACGGACGTTTTGTTGTTGGCTGACAATTCTGAGAATTTTCGAGATAGTTGCGTTGCGAGTTACGAGCTCGACCCCGCGTATTATTATACTTTACCGGGCTTCACGTGGGATGCCATGTTAAAACATACTCGCGTCAATTTCGAACTTCTTACCGACGTTGACATAGTTCTTTTCATCGAACGCGGTATACGTGGCGGTTTGAGTCAGTGTTCGAACAGATATGCACAGGCTAACAACAAGTATATGCAATCGTATGATCCGTCGAAACCGTCGACGTACTTGATGTATTATGACGTCAACAACTTGTACGGTTGGGCAATGTGTCAACCATTGCCATACGCTGATTTTCAATGGGTCGACGATGTAGAAAATTTTGATGTTACGACCGTCGCGCTCAATTCACCGACAGGCTATATTCTCGAGGTGGACTTGGTGTGTCCGCAACATCTTCATGACGTTCACGCGGATCTACCGTTTTGCCCGACGCGCGAGAAACCACCCGGTAAGCGTGAAGACAAGCTCCTCGCAACATTGTGCGATAAGCAGCGGTATGTCATACATTATCGCAACCTGCAACAATGTACTCGTCACGGTCTCCGTATCACAAAGATCCATCGCATACTACGATTCGCACAATCTCCAAGGCTTCGCGATTACATAGAACTAAAAGTGAAATTTAAAACTTTGGCTAAGAATGATTTCGAGAAAAATTTGTACAAACTTATGAATAACGCGGTTTTTGGTAAAACCATGGAGAATGTGCGCGATCGCGTCGACGTAAAATTATTAACAAAATGGGTGGGGAGATACGGTGCAGAAGCAATGATCGCGAAACCGAATTTTCACAGTCGTAGCATTTTTTCAGAAAATCTGGTCGCGATAGAACTGCGTAAACTCGAGGTGAAGTTCGACAAATCGATATACGTGGGTATGTGTATCCTCGATATATCCAAGACTTGTTTGTACGAATTTCACCACGAATATATGGCACCGCTGTTTTGCGAAAAATGCAAAATTATGTATACCGATACTGACAGTTTAATTTATCATGTAGAATGTGACGATGTATATGAAATTATAAAACGCGATATCAGTAGATTTGACACTAGCGATTACGCGATCGACAATGCATATGGTATTCCGCTAGTAAATAAGAAAGTACCGGGTCTTATCAAAGACGAGAACAACGGCGCGATCATGAGCGAATTCGTTGGGCTTAGAGCGAAAATGTATGCTTTACGTGTACAAGGAAAGAAGGACACGAAGAAGGCGAAAGGTGTCAAGAGCAACATTGTAGCGAGATCCATAACATTTGAGGATTACACGCGATGTCTCAATGATACAATCGAGATGACGCGCAAGCAGTCATGCATTAGATCAAAGTTGCACGAAGTATACACGATATCCAAAACGAAAATCGCTCTAAGTCCGCATGATGATAAACGGTATATCATACCAGATTCCACCAATACGCTGCCATGGGGACATTACCGGTGTAAATAAAACTTTTGTATTGTATGTATAATATATGTATGGCTCATTTTAATCGACGCACCCGAATATCTCCTAAAATACGCCAGCTATAAAAAAATGTTTCAAATAAAAACGGAATGGTGTCGAGGGGGACACGTTTTAATTACATTTTTTTTTTAAGTGGAGACGCTAAAAAAATGAAGGTCACCTTGTGACCGGACAATGCGAAATTCGGGGCGGTGTTTCTTAGAAATCCGATGACTTTCTTATTTTTCCGCTCTTTATAATCGGACAAATGGAATTTCAAGTTTCGGTCCTTTGTAATTTTATTATTTCTCGGTCGCCACGTCCTTTGACCTCCTAGGACGAAGGTTATTTCAGGTTTGCGATGTGTGTGTGCGTGCAATAAATCACTCTTTTACAACATAACAACTCTTTATTGTAAAAATATCAATCGTCAATATATTACAGCACTATGTACAATGATCGAGAAACGGTTCGCCTATCTCACAGATAAGTCTTTAATCACTACTAAACCGGTTCACGATCGACAAACTAGCTGCCTTCGCCAGCAACACGCTTCGAGGCACGCTATTCTACGTTTCCACACAATGTGGGTTTCGCGCACTAGGCCCGATTGATCACTCGCATACGCGAATGGGTTCAACACAATCGCCTATCAGGATTGATCGCTTCCACGCACGATCTAAACTCAATTCGTCGTGTCCCGACTCGATACACGACAACTCTACTTGACGGCGCCGCGCTATCACCACGGATCGTTCGCAAAGGCTTGACTTGTTTTCTGTTCGGAGGTCAGCGAGGAAAAAGCTATGGCCGCACGCTGCTCGTCGCTTTTATAGCTTCGAGTTGCGCACGCGCCGTGTGCGCTACTCCGAACCGTTGGCTCGTGCGCGCGCATCCGCATTTGATTCTTAATCAATTAATTATCATCTAATTCATTACAATTCCTTCTCCAAACATTATCACATCGTTGCCTCTACGGTACACCATCTTTCGAAATTTTATCGCTTTCTAACGATTCGTTTTCGAGATATACAATAATTTAATGATTTCTATGGTTTCCCATAGTTACATGAAACTCATAATTATACCATCTAATAATCTAAGTGCCTCTAACACGTATCAAAAATTTATCCCGATCGCTTGGTTCGTTCACGAGATATTCAATAAACAATCAATATCTATGGGTTCCCATAGTTAGCCGACATTGATACTCTCAATATCTATTAGTAAGATGTGCCTCTAGCACATATCAAAAATTTATCTCGATCGCCTGGTTCGTTCACGAGATATTCAATAAACAATCAATATCTATGGGTTCCCATAGTTAGCCGACATTAATACTCTCAATATCTATTAATAAGATGTGCCTCTGGCACATATCAAAAATTTATCCCGATCGCCTGGTTCGTTCACGAGATATTCAATAAACAATCAATATCTATGGGTTCCCATAGTTAGCCGACATTGATACTCTCAATATCTGTTAGTAAGATATGCCTCTAGCACATATCAAAAATTTATCCCGATCGCCTGGTTCGTTCACGAGATATTCAATAAACAATCAATATCTATAGGTTCCCATAGTTAGCCGACATTGATACTTTCAATATCTATTAATAAGATGTACCTCTAGCACATATCAAAATTTTATCCCGATCGCATGGTTCGTTACCGAGATATTCAATAAACAATCAATATCTATGGGTTCCCATAGTTAGCCGACACTGATACTCTCAATATCTATTAGTAAGATGTGCCTCTAGCACATATCAAAAATTTATCCCGATCGCCTGGTTCGTTCACGAGATATTCAATAAACAATCAATATCTATGGGTTCCCATAGTTAGCCGACATTAATACTCTCAATATCTATTAATAAGATGTGCCTCTGGCACATATCAAAAATTTATCCCGATCGCCTGGTTCGTTCACGAGATATTCAATAAACAATCAATATCTATGGGTTCCCATAGTTAGCCGACATTGATACTCTCAATATCTATTAGTAAGATATGCCTCGAGCACATATCAAATTTTTATCCCGATCGCATGGTTCGTTACCGAGATATTCAATAAACAATTAATATCTATGGGTTCCCATAGTTAGCCGACATTGACGCTTTCAATATCTATTAATAAGATGTGCCTCTAGCACACATCAAAATTTTATCCCGATCGCATGGTTCGTTACCGAGATATTCAATAAACAATTAATATCTATGGGTTCCCATAGTTAGCCAACCTTCATATTTATAATATCTACTAATTACATGTGCCTTTAACACGTATCAAAATCTCATCCGAATCTAATGGTTCGTTCTCGAGATACAATAATAAATCCTTAATCTTTATGGGTTCCCGTAGCCCCGCGTATGCACTGCAGCATACCTTCGTAGGAATCAATCTCATTTTGATCTGCCGCTGATGGCGCGCAAAGATCTGCAAAGTGCTGAATATGGGTTCCCGTGGCCCCATGTAACCTTAATTAATCATGGGAATAAGCATTCGTTAGACACGCTACTCATGGCGTTGTTGAACTCTCATCCAACGAATGCTTATGGGCTCCCGTGGACCCGTGTAAACTTTCTTTGGCATAGTTTCTAATAATAGTGGTTTCATCGGTCTGAACTCTTTATGAAACTACCTCGATCGCACCCGGCGTTTTCGAGTTCGCATAATGGCATTTGACATCACTCTGCTTAATAGCAGTGGCTATACCAAGATGTACCTGGTATAGTTGATTAAACTTTTCTGGTGGGTAACGATATACCCAAAAGAAACAATTGTCAATTATTTCCTTTTTTACCGAGTATCGGTAAGGAAGGAAAACCGTAATAAATCTGCCTCAACGGCTAAACAAAACTCGGCATATCGCCTAAACTATAATAAACTAACAAATGATAACATGAATGCCATTATGCAGCTAAAATAACTAATAATAATAATGGATTGCCATTATGCGGCTTATATTAGTGATAATAATAATAAAGTGCCCTCATGCGGCTTACACACTAATGCCCCCGCTGGGGCAAGAGAAGGAATCAGAAGGAGCGGACGTGCATGTGCTCATGCCCGGTCGCAACCTCCACTTTTTTAAATGGAATTATGTAATTTTTTTTAGATAACGTGATTCCTCTAATTATTTTGCATATAAAAGTATTAAAGTAGAGATGCCAAAAAACCAATAGTTTTCGAGATATTTTACACTTTATTTTGGTATATTTTGACACAAAATGTTAAATAACTCGTAAACTGTTGACTTTTGGATTATCGTGCCTTAATACTTTTGTGAACAGAATAATGAGATAAATCAAATGGTATCTCTACCTTAATACTTTTATATGCAAAATAGTTAGAGGAATAACGTTATCTATAAAAAATTACATAATTTCATTTAAAAAAGTGGAGGTGACCTTCATATCTTTTTAGCGCCTCCACTTAGAAAAAAAACAATGTAACTAAAACGTGTCCCCCTCGACACCATTCCATTTTTATTTGAAACATTTTTTTATAGCTGGCGTATTTTAGGAGATATTCGGGTGCGTCGATTAAAATGAGCCATACTATATATTTAATATGTATGGACGTATGTATGTATTGATGTATGTGTGGACATATGTATGAATTGATGTATGTATAGACATATGTATGTATTGATGTACGTGTGGACATATGTATAAGTAATGTATAGTATATGTGTAAGTTATGTAGGGTAATGTATAAATAATATAATATGTATACATTATTTCATCATTTTTTTTTGTTTCTTTTATTATTATATGTAAATATATAAAGAATTGTACAATTTATAATAAATTTATTATTTTTACAACACACGTTATCCTTATACCTACATATAATTTGTAATAAATATTATTATTTTTTTATAACACGCTATCCTTGTGTATCCAAGAGTTGTGTGAATTATCGAATTCTAACCATTTCACATAAACCTTGTCTCCTTTCTTACGCAACACCTTTTCAACTAGATATACGTCGGGATTAGCGACGCGATGCAACTCATACTCGTAGAATCCTCCAGCGACTGGTTTTCCGCAGTAATCTTCCAGAAGATACGTCACGGGATTAGTCTGCTGCACTTTGACGATTCGAAACACCTCCGTGGTCCAATTTGGTGTGTAACCCTTCTCAAAGATCGTCTTGAATTTGCTCACGCGTACAGCGTCGCCCACTTTGAATTTTGCGGGACCAGCGATCTTCATCGCGCTGTACACCGTACCCAAGAGTCTTTCAGCGATAGCGGGAGTTACGTCAGAAGGTCGCATGCCGATGGTGCGATGCTTGCGCGTGTTGTAATCCGACACGAGACGCGGCAGCATGTCGATCCATTTATAATTTCCATTGTGCGTAAATTGTTTCCACATGTCGTTTTTCAACGTGCGATTGAACCGTTCCACGACCGACGCCTTCATTACGGAATACGTTGAATAATGGTTCACGTTGTGCTCCTTCAAGAGTTTTTATACGTTTGTGTTGTAAAATTCTTTTCCCATATCGGTTTGCAAGTTTTTCGGACATCTTCCATCACCTCGAATTATTTTTGCGATCGCTGTAGCCATCTCATTTCCACTCTTTGTTTTGAGCGGCAAGGCTCATGCGTGCTTACTCAACACATCGATCACGGTGAGAATATAGTGATATCCTTTGTTGAATCGTGTGTAAGGGCGCATCTCGACTACATCAGCCTACCACAGGTCATCGTATCCGTAAACTATGACACGTCTGCGTGGAAAATTTTTTCTCGCTGGAGCGTGCAATTCTCCTACCAGTCGCCACTTTTCGAGATTTTTCTTTTTAGACATTTTTTTTTTCTTTTTTTATTTTCTTCTTGGTATAATGCGTATAATGTCACAAAGATCTTACGCAAACGTTTGTTGATCGATACTTTAGTGTCGACTAAAAGACGACTACATATCCTATTTCAATTTATAATAAGCCCAGCTTCACGAAGTTCCTCGATAATGGACAAAATTTCGTTATC